AGGTTCTCAGGCGTGTCGCGGGGCGCTTCTCCCCTGTATGTCTGCGAGCATGGGTCTGTTGAAGCTCCGCGTGGGTCAGCATCCCAGTTCCTAAGATCATATGTCAGTGCATGCCATACGCATAGGGCAGAAACTTCGCTTACGTCTCCCAGTTGCGGTTCACGTCGCGACCATAGCATGTCTGATTGACAGCGTTCTCTGGTGGCGGCATACGGTTCTTGCGCCACAGGCGGTCGTCTGTTTGAGAAAAGACGAAGCCTAGCATGTATTAGCAACAACCAGTGGATCCATCCTTGGTGATGTGACATACCATCGGGGTTGACAAAGGGAAACATGTAGATGTCGTAGTTATCCAGAATGGCTTGCGTGTAGTTGTTGCCTGCCTTGTATTCGTAGGTGAGGGCCTTGGCGATGTACTCGATGGTCATAGCAGTGATCCATTCACGGGCGTGAACAGTTCCGTGGTAGATTACCGCAGGCTTTCCTGGACCGTCTTTTCCATAGAGATGAACGCCGAACATGTCGCGCCCCTCGAAAGACGTTCCGGTGCTCGTCCAATTGGAATTGTCTGGGAACGACTCCTGAAGATCGCGCCACCAGGTAATGTGCTAATAATGATCAGCCAACTTTGCATGGAATAGCAGTGACACATCACCTACGTCTTCATACGGGTGGTAGCTATCAAACCACGCATCTTCTGAACCGTTGGTTTGCCTCTTCCAGGCCTTCTTGACGTGCGACTCCCGAGCGATAGAATCAGCCAGGTTCTCATGCAAGGTTCGGGACTTGAGCCCCAAAGCCTTGAAGGCGTCCAACTGCCCGGGTGCAATAAGAACGTCCAGGTTTCCACGAATCTCGTTTAAAGTCTCGTGAGGGACAGCAGCAAGAGCTCGCTTTGCTGCAGCATATTGGGATCCAGTAGCTCGGACGCGATGGACTTGGTACCCATCATATGTACGAGGCTGTGGGCTGCGGATGGTCGCACCTGCAACGAGGGATAGCCAGGCAAGGCTGAGTACGAACTTCATGATGTTGTTCCGCCACGGAAGCGATCAATTGACGAGCGTGAGATATTCAAGATTGTAGAAGATGGGCCTTATATAGCTGACCATCTTCCTCACCTGGGCGCATTTGAGTTTGCTGGCACCATGATAAGCACAAAGCGTGTTCTTCCAAGCCCTGACCATGGACATTGGCAGCTCAACGTGCGCACGGTGACATGATTGATGTTGCCCAAGAGCCCGGTTAATCATGGATGAGGTGTGATCGGGACGTTTCCCCAAGATGTGGTGGCCTTGACCTGCCAGTTCTGCACTAGACCTGCCATGGCATTCCTGGGCGAGGGGTAGCAACGTCATCCGCGGGCTTACTCTGTTCGTGAGTAAATACGTTATTTCGGTGGAGGTAAGCTGAGCAGGTTCTGTCGCGTTGCGTCTATATGCATAGGTTGCGGCGCAGCAGGCTGGGCGGAGTTGCTGCTCAGGCGGGCTCTAAGGCTGTCCTCCGCAAATTGCCCAAGTGCGACGATGTCAGGGCCAGGGACAATATAGTGGGATCTGAGCATCTTCAGGCAATCATTGTTCCGAACGACCCTGCGAACTGGTCGTACTGTAATGCACCGACCCGGATGCCGCAAGGAAATGAGGGGAAGCCGCGGATAGAGTGAAGAACCTTGGAATAATCTCCGGACAGAAGCGGCGCTAGAGCGGAACCGGATAAGCGGCTTCCCCGACGGATTGGCCTCAAGTGCTGCCGCTGCCGACCCCATCCGTGACCCTATTCATCGCATCGCATCGCATCACATCAGCGACTGCAGCATCGACCAGGATACGAATGCCATGGGGAACTGCAACTATTGTTTTCTTAAGGCCAACTGTTTGCCGACCGATACGGCCACCGTATGCTACATCCAGAGCTTGCAGAAACATTTGCCATCCAGCAATCTAAAGTCGTCCGCAGACATTCAAGTATCGATTCCGCCAGCAGACGATTGAAGTGCAGTCGTGTCTGTCATTAAGGTTGTTACATTGGAAACACAGCTCAAGAGCCAGAACCTCACGTCAAACCGTCTACATCGTTGGCGCTGGAGATTTTGCTTCATGCTACACGATGATGAGAAGCAATCGACAGGCCGGGATATGTATCCTAAGACAAACTGATTCTGGTGATGCGACGAATGCAACCCGAGAGCCGAAATTGCATAGACTCGAGTCTTCTTACGAGTATTGAAACAAAGAGTCGAACAATGTGCGATTCGACGCTTTGTTTCCTTGTCGCCTCGGCCTCAACACACTCCTCTAGACGTGCGGTCCTCCTGTTATATACACAGTGCCTTTAGTACATAGAACGGCGAGTGAACACAATACTGGCCAGCAATTGCTGAACTTTCACCTTACTACGGTAAACTCCCCTTCTTTCAATTTGATATTGTCTCACGGATCCCGACCTTGGTGAGCACAACTCAATTGTCTCACCCCTGACCAGCCGAAACAACTCGCTTAGGCTATACTCACGCTGCATTGAAACTATGTCTCCAATCACATTCACGCGGGACGAAGTCCAGAACATGCTCGACGAAGCACAATTAAATGCCGGCCATCTCTTCGCGAACCTCCCAGACGTATGCGAACTGCTTCAAACGCAGCATCGAGAGAGCCTGATGGAGTGTAACTCCCGATATATTGATCAGATGAAGGTGCTACATCAATCAATGCGTGAGGAGTGCAAGATCATCGATGGCTACAACAAACACCGCCTTGGGAAGGCGAGAACCGCCTTCAATGATCGCGTTATCGACCCCATGATTGCTGTAGAATACAGGGAAGAAGAAAATATCCCTGCAGACCTCCAGTGGTATCCACTACACGCTGCGGTCGCAATCCACGATGGGTCCGCTACAGCTCATCTCTTTGATCAGCCTGAAAGTGACGAAGAAGACAACCAAAACTATCCAGATGACCAACCTGCGTTCATTGGAAATGGAAACGAAATCCCAATTCCTGTCACTCACCAAGACATTGCTTCCAGTAAGATTGTCAAAAGGAAACCGATTCCCGAAGGAAGGAAATCTACTGGCCCAGGTACACCAAACTATGACAAACTGAAGGATGCGCCTTCGGCTTGGCTAGATCTTCCTCATGGCAACCTAACTTTGGCAGAAACACTTGCTTTCATTCCGCATGCCATCAAATCCTTCCACATCATGGACCGTTTTCTCCACAATGGCGCCCTATCGGGGACCTTCGCAGACATGATCAACCATTACCGAGACATGCCGTACGGTCCGATTACAAACAATACGATATATCGGATGATGAAAGGACCAATGGAGCATCGCGCGAAGACCGAACCGACTTACGAGAAATGGACAGTTGCCAAACATACGACTTTACCGAGACCTGTTGGATTTAATCCCACCAGTGTCAGCGTAGCCGGCTTTGCCAAGCCTTACAACTTCAACTCTCGTGAAAGGACTGTAGCGGCGACCCAACCCCCTCCTAGCATTTCTTTTCGCGATATGGCAAACGGTGTCAAGATCATGCCGTCAGGGCATGATGCGCTGGATCTTACACGATGTGTGCAGTATTGCGTAAAGAATAACGATTCGAGCTGGCTATATCCTCAAGATTTCCAGAACCTGGTTGCTCGACTCGGGGGTGCTTCTACTGTGCACCCACACCATCACGACGATGCTGTGATTCGGAGACACACTTCCGAAAAGAAGCGGAACAATGCGAAGCGAGCTGGTGCACGACAGCGTGATAGGAATGGGCGCCTCATGAAACAGCCGAAGGACTTCGTGGTTGACTCCGATGAAGAAGAGCTACTGAATGAAGAGTCTGAAGAGGAGTCTGAAGCAGATCTAGATAACTTCGATTTTGACGCTTTGGACATTGACGACAACGAGCCACTCACTGCCACCAAGAAGGGTTCGAGCCGTAAGAATGTCATAGGAGATGACACTTCGGACGAAGATGAACTCACGCCGCGTACCCGTAACTCATCCAAACGTAAGCGTGCTTCCAACAAAGACGACGAAGACACCTCACCTAAGCAAAGGTCCAAGCGCAGCAAGAAGACGTCGCCAAGGACGCCAGCACGTCGCTCACCGAGGACCCGGTCGTCATCACACCTTAGCAAAGAGGTGCTGCCTGAAGCGCTCGACTCTGATTCTGATTCTGACGCTTATGCCGGACCCAAGAAGCGGACCAAGAAGGCCAAGGTCAGCACACGATCGTTTCCTCGCGGCCAGCGCTTCGGTGGCTCATATGACTTCAAGAACGCCCTAGATGGCGAGGAAGATGAAGATAACGAAGCGGACCAGAGTGAAGTGGAACACACTCCGGCTTCGAACAAGCGGATTCTTACTCCGGCGGAGATGCGTATGGTTGGTCGGACGGGAAACACGGGTGTAGACAACGTTGTCGAGGATGACGAAGGTGATATGGGAGAAGATGACGAGGACTTTGATTGGTGAGTTGAGAGCGATTCACGTCGGCGGCATTACAATGGAATGTAATATGTCTTTTCTTCGCCACAGTGCATCATTCTAGGCTTATCTCCTGTTGTGGCATCATATGGCCTATATACATAGAGTAAATAGGGCTGTGTTTATACGAAATCCGCTTGCTTTTGTTGAATGAATGTTATTTTCCTCATCAGCGCACTACTCATTGTGGTCGATAACGGTGAAAGCAGGGTACTGTCTTCGAGCGCGAACATATCTTGTGACCTCACCGCCTTTCCCATTCGTGCCATTCTGACTGCTCCCACTTTCCAAATCCGGTAGCACACCAATTGATCGCTAAGACGGTGAGGAGGTGCGCGCTAAGTCGTTGCCTTGGCAATAACGGGCTCCACGCTCACTTCTGTCCAACCCACAAAGCCAAACTGAGTTCTCATGCTGCAGTCACACTCAATCCTCTCTTTTACATCAATCCAAAACACCTTGCACGCAGAAAACACAAATCCGGAAGTACCGGCGGCGAGCTGTCGGCATCATGGCTTACGGTTCGGTCGCCACGCTCAGTACTGTCGAGACAAGGACTGGCGGCAACGAACCTGCCGTGCCGTCATCGAGACAGCACAATATACTTCATGGCTATGGCCAACTCGTTGGCGTCTCTAACGTCCCATTGATCAGTTCAGAGCGTCCAAATGCTCCAGGTAAATTCTTCTCGAATCTACAGCGATCTTGCACTAACTCCGCACAGTTACGGCCATGCCTCCTCCCGCTGTCAACGTTCCGCAGTCTTCGCGTTCAGTAACTACACCAGCCGACGAGTATGCCAGACTCACTCGCAGGCAGAGACGCGACGCCAGAGAGAAGAAGCGAATCCAGAAGGCTGCGCGTGCCGCCAGGGACGAGCTGTACAGGGCTCGACAGGTTGTCAAGGACGCGCAAGAAGTAGCTCGAGCTGCGAGGGTACATGCTTCTCGATACTCCTACATTCCGGCCCCCAAAAATACCAGAGCTATTCTTCATCTCCGCGTACGGTCAAGGGCAAGAAGCCTAAGAGCAAATCTGGGGGCTCCGTCCATTCGGATCCTATGGATGTGGACGAGACTTGGTCCTGGATCAAGGAGAGCTCGTCAGCAGCCTCCCAGAATGGCAGCGCGCGCGATCGTCACTAATCTCCTTGGTACGGCGGCGGATCGGATGTCGTCATAGCTGCGAGAGTGTTTTCTCTGTGAAGGACGAGGACCTCTTCAGCTGGGTACCATGCGTCGAGTGTGTCTACAATCAGGAGGTGAGGGTATAAGGATTGGACGATGTTCTGCGAAGTGTCAGTGGCCTGTGGGCTTTGTCTAGCAAGTTAACGATGCGCGGGCACTTTCGCGTCTTCGCCCCCCGAGATGGATAAGCAATTTACAGCCTCGTCTCACATCTTAGAAAAGCAAACATATGAAACACACCACTGAAGTGAGGATCTTGTGGGGCGAAGATCGTGCATTACATACATTGTGAAGGCTAGCGCTGGTTCGTAGCTGGCCTGCAGTTCACTCATGCAGCCGCGATGTGAATTGCGCCTGCTGTCCCTGGGTCCGCGCCCGCCACCCCCGCTTACTAACCCCAACGTGACCCCCAATATCAGCTGCCTTGCGGTTTTCTTCCTGCTTCCTCCCTCTTATCTTGCGCTCTCATAATCGCGTTTCTCGCTTGTGATGCGCGTTTTATTTTGCGGCGGTAGGCACGGCGCTGCCGACGATGCCCGGGCCCGCTTTCGGCGACAGCGCCTACCTGATTGCCCGAAGAGCAAGTCACCACCCACAGCCGCTACTGTGAACCATGGAAGCAGTCGATCAACACGCGCGTTTAGAAGGTCCTTACAGGGATACAAACCCTTCCTCCCTGGGTAACATCACACTTTTACTGCTACGTCGTCGCACAATGGGGCAACTCTCTCGTTTGTCTCTCACGTCCACCACTGCCTATTGAGGTCATTCTCACCATGGTGAAAACGGAGGATGTGAGAGGATCATCGTATAGCTCGGCGTACAATAGCTTTGTGGCTTTACATCACCACCCCGAGGGCTCAAGACCTCAATGCGAGCCTTGGATTACAACTCAACCAGACAGTCAAAAGCTACACTTCGACAACGCCCACGACACCCACGACACCCACGACACTACACATTGCGCAAAAGAGCCACTATCACCAACTGCCCGGCCGCCTCACTATGGCTCCAGCTCATTTACCCTCACAGCGCGTTGAACACCCACGCAACTACGGTTTCCGCAAGTCTAAGAGAACAGAAGACGCCCACGCACTGCCCAGCTACCAGCAGAAGACTCATTTTCACGGCTACTTTCACGGCACCCCGCCACCCGATCCACCTCATACAGCGCCGATCATCCCTATACAACAAAGACGAATTCCGCTGGCGCCCTACTTTCATGAGAATGTTGCGATGAGTGCGCAGGCTGCGGCGTACGAAGATGCTGTCACCACGAGAGTCTGGCGTAACGAGTGGGAAGTCGTGCCAGAAAACTTTGGCCCATCTCGACCTCTGCTCCTTCTCAACCGGCCTGCGAACGTCGACCTAATGAGTCACACGTGGGAAACGGAGTTAGTCCATCTGTGCCACTGGGATCAATACCACGAGCCAGAAGGCGTGCTTTCTCAACGTCTGGCAAAAGAGAGAAGGATTAGGAAAAAGGAGCGGCTCTTGGGAAACAGCAGATTCGAGCAAGATAAGAGACGCAAGAAGGTGAAGCTGGCAGCTACGACTGCGGAGGTTATCGATTTGACTCAAGATAATCCTGTTGAAGGTGGAAACTTCCCGAGTTATGCTGGCATCAAGGAAGTTTGGAACTATCCGCCGGGATAATTTCCGAGCTCAAAGGGCTTTTGAAGCTGCTAGTCCTCTGAGTCCAGCATTGGTACGCCTTTAATCATGGCACATTCAGAAAGTCTTGGAGATATTGTACGAGATCAGCATGAAAGCCAGATCATATTCACTTCCTTCAGAATGCCCTCGTTCTTCAATCTTTTCAAGGCGACGACTTTCGGCGCAGGAATGAAACTCTCTTATCGAACATACTAAGGGATACGAAGCCATGGTAGAATAGGCTTCACCGCAACTGCCAGTGAAAGTTAGTTTACTCCCTTCGTATTCACTCTGCTTGCTGTTGCGCCTCAAGTATATCAACCGCTCTACTCTACCCTTGGCACAGACCCACCACCTCGCAACTTACCACCACTCTCGCTAGAATCTACTAGAATTGACTGTAGCTATCCCGAAGATAGTATGAGTTTCACGGAGCCTGACCCACGCTACACGCCATCGCCACACGGAAATCCAATGCAAGCGGGCCCTGGAGGTTCGCCTGCGCCACATCAATTCCCTAAAAAGAAGGGTGATGACACAGCAGTGCTGAAGACTCCATCGAGAGGAAAGCCTCGGGCTCAATTCCTGGTTGACATTCCGGCCCACGAGTATAAGCTACGTTGCGATAGACCAATCAATGCAACTCTCGTGGATCTGATTGTAATACTCCCACAATGGTTCCGCAATCCTGGTGTCGCATACCGCATGTTGAATAACGGCATCACTGCTGCAGTTCACTTTGCAATTCTGGACAAGCATCGTCACCTCGGCTTGACCAGTTCCGAGGAAGGAGAGCGCGCCCGCGACCATATCTCGGACACATATCGAAAGACGATGCGCAGATTCTACCCAACCTGGACCAAAGCGAAGCATCACGTCCCAGGTAACTGGGATAAGTTGGCGATGTGCATAAACAATTTCCTTCCGGAAGCTGCAAAAAAAGCCGATTATGTTCCACCGCCGTCAATACCATTCAAGAACTTAGCGATTGGTCTGAAGAGTCTGCCCGTGGATGACGACATGGGTGATCTTACTCGCGCATTGGTATTCGCGCTACAGTACCAGAAGCTTGATGAGCACGGCCAGCTGACGGACTTTATGTTCCCGGATGATATCCAGCTCATTCTCAGATGCATTGGTCCCACTGAAACTACCCGAGATCGTTACGATGAGGCTATCATAAGTCGGTACTCCGAAGCGGTTCGAGTGGCAGAAAGTGAGCGTCGTAAGCAGCTGAATGAACAGCGGCGCCGGCAACAGGCTGCCGAGGAGGAGGCTGCTCAGTCTGTCCCCTACTTCTACCCCGATCAGCCTTCGTCGCTTGGAGGCTTTCCGATGGATCTATTGGCTCAGCAGCAAATGCAGCCGACTGTCGGCTTCTCGTCCTGGAATCAAGAGTACAACAGCATGCCTCCGACGGGAATGGGCGTCTTAATGCCGAAAGCTGTACAGCATCCACCAGCGCCGGAAGCCAATCCCCAAGATCTACTCCAGTGGCCTCTGCAGATGCAGTCACAGCCTCAAGATTACCACGAATCAAACTTCGCTGAGCACAGCTACAGCCACCCACTCCGACCGCACCCAGTACGCTCGAAGTCGCAAGAAGCCGCTGCAGCCATAGCATCAGAGCTCGTATACCAAGCCTCTCAGCCAGCCCAGGTGGACTTGCCCGCCATCCCCGATATCTGCATACCCGAAGGCTATGTACAAGACGACAACGCTTTCCCAGACTCTTGGTTGTACCTAAATCCCCAAGAAGCAGCAGGGCAAGTAGATGCACTCATGGCAGCAAACCAGACCTTTGACTACAGCGACGTGGAACGATTGGCGTCGACGTCGCTTGTACCCCGCTTTAATTATCATCCTGGCATGCCTTTGCTGGATTGTCCGGAGGCGCAAGATCCGAAGGATTGGGGCGAGCTCGCTCGTGCGGCGCGATGGGCACGGACTCATGCGTATCCTGGTGGCCGTGAGTTCACGGTCGGGGATATCGATGCTGTGTTAGCTTATTTCGAAGGTCCGGGGGCGCAGTGTGATCAAGACAGAAGTTGATCTGCTTATCGGAATTTTATGTGTAAGTGATCTGAGATTATACCTGATTGCCGCCTCGTTAGGAATTCATGTGAAGGCGGATATAGTCAAGATGTAAATTCGCCTTGAGCAATACTGTTTCCCAAAGATAGAACGTCAATACACGGTCGAAATGGGATAACATCAGTTCTGCGACGCAACTTCCTTCCGCTTGGGGTAATATGCAGTGATTCTGACATGTCTAGCATTGGCGCGTTTTGCGCATGAGTCTCTAGGGCTGACACGCATCTTGCGTGACGTCGGCTGGTACCCCTCTTTCCTTAGCACATAAGCCTCAGTATAAAGCTACAAGATTAGCATGTACATTGGACTATGAACTTACAACTGCTTTCGTGCAATCCATCCACTTGTCTGTAAGCGATACTCAACCACGAAATTGAACCACTTCAGACTGCGTCGTCCAACCCTTTCGAACCACCAATATGCGGGCTCTTCGCTACTATGGGGCCGAGGACATGCGTCTGGAACACGACGTTCCAGAGCCGGTATGTGATGTCCATCAAGTGAAGATTCGACCTTCCTTTTGTGGGATCTGCGGGTCCGACCTGCACTTCTACTGCATACCGGATGCTCTTCCTTTCAAAGACACGCCTCATCCGATCACCGGCGAGACATGGCCTGTAACTCTCGGGCATGAGTTCTCTGGGGACATCGTCGAGGTCGGAGCGCAGGTGCGCAAAGGTCTCAAGGTTGGAGACAGAGTGGCCGTCCAGCCTACCATTTGCTGCGAGCAATGCGTTTCGTGCAAAGGTGGCTTTACCAATTGTTGCGATTCGTTTGGGTTCGTGGGAATCATGGGTTGGGGAGGTGGGTTATCGGATCGGGTGTGCGTAGATGCGCAGTTCGTGTTCAAACTGCCTGAGAAGATAACGTCAGAAATTGGAGGTAAGACAGTCGGGAAGCTCACTTGAGGTAGGGAAGGACACTGACAGATTGGCGTAGCTTTGGTTGAACCGCTTGCAGTTGCCTGGCATGCTGTCGAACAGTCGGCCGCCAAAGCAGGGGACAACATCTTGGTTATCGGCGCTGGCCCGATTGGTTTAGCCATTCTCCAATGCCTGAAAGCCTTGGATACTGCCCAGGTGATCGTTGCAGAAGTTGCTCAGAATCGAAGGAACTTAGCTCTACACTTTGGAGCTACAGCGGCGATCGATCCGACGGACGAAGACATGGTCTCCAGATGCAAGATGCTGTGCAATGACCAAGGCCCT